ATGAAAAATATCGGTTTGTTTTAGAATGAGTCGGCTTGCCTAGTACCTCGATAGGCACCATCACGACAGGGATTAGTTTGGGTCGTGACAACATCGCAGTAAGATGGGCCCCCAAAGAAGTTTAGGAATATATATTAGGTTTGAATCACCCTCTATTATTCGTTATCTTGAACTATTGACGGGAGATTTATATACTGCTCGATTTGCAAATTGTCGATTTGATGAAACAATTTCCCCACAATTATGGGGGGAGAAAAAGGAAATCAAAGGAGAAATTGTGTGGGAAGTTTCATCATTATCTCACTTTGATCCACGTACCCTATATGTAATCAGGAGGTCCGGAAGATCATCTATTTACAAAATATTGCAAATCAAATGGCAGACGCAATTACTGATTTGAAAAGGATAACTAAGTCACATATCCCTACAGTGAACCTAAAGCACGCCTGAAGCATGGTAGGACTTTGGGTTCTAAGTATCAAAATCCTAGAAAAAAGAAAATCGACAAATGATCAAAATGATATTACGAAGGGATCTCCTGAAGAGACACAAGATCTAATTAGTTCTGAGATTCATGAATAAATCAATGAACCCGAGACTCAAGTGAGTGAGGAACTTTTAATAAGTTATACTGGTGATGTGATTAATTTAAATCGATCTAAATTAGTGGTGGATAATATTTTTGCATATAGTGTTGCACTTAACATTATGCAAGATAGTGAGAATCTTGAACCCCGATCTGTCAAAGAATATCGACAAATATCCGATTGGCCAGAATGGCAAGAGTCAATTCAATCGGAATTGAAGTCACTTGCTAAAAGAGAGGTCTTTGGACTAGTAGTCCAAACACTTGCTGGTATAAAGCCAGTTGGTCATAAATGGGGTTTTGTGCGAAAATGGAATGATAAAAATGAAGTTGAAAGATACAAGGCTCGCCTTATTGCACAAGGATTCTCACAACGACCTGGAGTCGATTATGAAGAAACATATTCACCCGTTATGGATGCCATAACATTTCGATATCTCATCAGTTTAGCCTTACGTGAAAGGCTCAAAATACATCTAATGGATGTGGTTACAACTTATTTGTATGGGTCACTTGATAATGAAATTTACATGAAAATCTCTGAAGGATTTAAAATACCCGAAGCATGTTCAAAATCTCGGGAAATGTACTCAATCAAATTACAAAGATCTTTGTACGGTTTAAAGCAATCTGGGCGCATGTGGTATAATCGCCTTAGTGAATATTTGCTGAAAGAGGGTTACATAAATGATATTATTTGTCCATGTATTTTTATAAAGAAGATGGCATCCGAATTTGTTATACTTGTTGTTTATGTTGATGACATAAATCTTGTTGGAACTCCAGAAGAGCTCCCAAAGGCAATTAAATATCTTAAGAAAAAATTTGAGATGAAAGATCTTGAAAAGACAAAACTTTGTCTTGGTCTGCAAATTGAACATTTAGCAGGCGAGATCTTTATCCATCAATCTGCCTATACAGAAAGGGTCTTAAAATGCTTTTACATGGACAAAGCGCACCCATTGAGTACACCAATAGTTGTTCGATCACTTGAAGTGAATAAGGACCCATTCCGACCTCCAGAAGAGGAAGAGGAACTCCTTGGTCCTGAAACACCATATCTCAGTGCACTAATGTATCTTACTAATGCTACAAGGCCTGGCATAGCATTTTCTGTTAATTTACTAGTAAGATATAATTCTTCTCCTACACAAAGACATTGGAACGGGATTAAGCATATATTACGATATTTAAAGGGAACTCTTGATATGGGTTTGTTTTATGCTAACAAAGATAGTGCAGATCTTGTTGGTTATGCATATGCATGTTATTTATCTGATCCCATAAAGCTAGATCTCAAACCGGGTACGTGTTTACATGTGGAGGCACTATCATATCATGGCGCTCCACAAAATAATCTATTGTTGCTGCTTCTTCAAATCATGCTGAAATAATAGTTATTCACGAAGTAAGTAGGGAATGCGTATGGTTGAGATCAATAATTTATTTTATTCAAGAAAAATGTACTTTGGAATGTGATAAAAGATCCACAATTTTATACAAAGACAATGATGCATACATAGCCCAATTGAAGGGAGAATTTATAAAAGGAGATAGAACGAATCACATTTTACCAAAATTATTCTACACACGATTTTCAGAAAAATAGTGACATTGATGTGCAACAAATCCATTCAAGTGACAATCCGACAGATTTATTCACTAAATCTTTGCCAACTTCAACTTTTGAGAAGATGGTATACAAGAATGGAATGCAAAGACTCAAATATTTAAAACAATATTTTTATGAGGGGGAGTAAAATACACGATGTACTCTTTTTTTTCCTTACTAAGGATTTTCCCATAGGGTTTTCTTTATAAGATTTTTAATGAGGCAGCTAGCAATGCGTATTACTAAATATGTGTACTCTTTTTCCTTCACTAGATTTTTTTCCCATGTGATTTTTCCTAATAAGGTTTTAATGAGGCACATTATCTTTTAATGAACATCCAGATGAGGGGGTTATAAATATATTATATTATGGATATTCATTTAGTACTCCGTTGTAAATAAGCTTCCTGAAGAAGTTTATCCATATGAGACTCCGCCGTAAATATGTTTATCTATTTAATACTCTATTGAAAATAAGCCTCCTGAAGAAGCTTATCATTTTGGTACTCCGTTATGGATAAACATTATCCTCGGTAGAAGATTATCTATATTTGGTACAGTAGCAACTTACAAGCAACTTACAAGCAGCTTACACAACAGTTTGCAGTGTAAGTAAGCTTACAAGCAACTTAATATAATATATATAAATATATTATATTATGGATGTTCATTTAGTACTCCATTGTAAATAAGCTTCCTGAAGAAGTTTATCCATATGAGACTCCGCCGTAAATATGTTTATCTATTTAATACTCTATTGGAAATAAGCCTCTTGAAGAAGCTTATTATTTTGGTACTCCGTTATGGATAAACATTACCCTCGGTAGAAGATTATCTATATTTGGTACAGTAGCAACTTACAAGCAACTTACAAGCAGCTTACACAGCAGCTTGCAGTAGCAACTTACAAGCAGCTTACACAACAGCTTCATTTCTTCTATAAATACAGGAGTTTTCAGTTCATTATGTACATAAGTTTGAAGTTTGAATAATATATCAGTTTATCTCTATACTTGTCTTTACTTTACAATCTTTATTTTATCACAAAAAAGATATTTTGGAAGAATATCACTACTTTTTGCAAAGGCTGTTTTTCAACCAAACACCAAGAAAGAATATTTAGAAAAAAATTTGCTAAATCTTTTTCAAAGTGTTAGAAGCGAATATTTCTCGTCCATTAATTCATAAAAATAACCTAAAGGTTAAATCCGTAAAATATAAATTTTAGATCCACGTACTAGGTGCATCCATATCATAAAATAGTGGATACGTTTCTGAATTGGTTTCTACCCTTCAACCCCAATCTTGTCCCACCCCACCCACCGACCCAACTCCCTTGACCCATCCCTACCTTACACCATACCCTTATTCTACATTAGTTATTTGAGTTTATTTTTGGAAAACTACTAGTTATGTCCATTTATAAGTAATTTATTATAAAAATTGGTCATTTCATTAAATATTACTATATTAACCCAATGATACCAATATTAGCCAATTAGCTATTTGTGGTAAAAAAGAACAAATTTTTATTTTTCTTTTGAGTGAGTGTTATTAGAATAAATTGGATACATCTTATGAAGTAGAAGATGAAACACGAAAAAATGATATGTGTATCATTTATGTATCGCATATATATCATATTTGTATCAAATGTGTATCACATGTATACCCGTGAGTGTGATACATGCGTGGTACATGTTTGATACACGTGTCCTAGAAGAATTTTTTGAACTCGATTTTAACTACGAAGTTTGATACCAAATCAGTTCAAATCACCTAAAATCTTCCTCAAAATTTGTATATTAACTCGTCTATATGTTTTCAATGAANATATATATATATATATATATATTTTATCACCTTCTTTGCTACCTCATCCATGAAATATTCTTTCCGTCTTGCATCTAATGTTGTTGATCACGTTTAAAAATATGGAAAGAGATCTTTGCATATGATTCTTGGAGATAAAGAACCTTATTTATTCGGGTGTTTAATTTTTATATGTGTTTGACTAGTTTTGATAAGTCTATAATTAATGACTAGAGGTTGGTAAATTGTAACTTATTCGGGATATTTGTGTAAGATTCCCTTTATTTTTTTCCTGAGTCAATCAATCAAATATTGAATCAATATGTGAAGTTTATTTTTTTTTTGGAAAATATTTATTTCTTTTTATTATGTGATCAATCAAATATCTTAATATTTATGCAATATATCGCATTGAAATTATTTAACTAATATGCCAATCAACCCAAATGATATATAATTTGCACAAATTAAACACTTTTATAGCATTGCGTTTAAAAGTTGACCCCTCTTTCAGAATTAGATAAATTGTCTTAAAGTCAAAACTAAAATTCATCAATTTCGAAAAGTGGCTAACATTTAAGTACAATGCCAGAAAAAGTTACCCACTTGGTTAGTAGTGAAAAGTTTTGGTTACTTTAATTCCTGGGGCCTGCCTTATCGTCGGTGACCGAAACGTTAATAAAAATAAAATATAAACAGCACATAATTCATAACGTGTGTCGCGTACGTTTAAAAAATTTAACGTGCATTTTCTTTTCCTCTTACGCCGCTCGGGAGTCAGTTAATTTGGACACTATTCGCTTAACCCGGAGCGTCCTTTGCGCTAAAGCTTGTCCGAAATATCTACATCTAAATTTGAAAAGACGACAAAGGACACAATTCCCAAGGCATTAAATTGACACTGAAGTAGTTCCCTCGAGGGCACATTTGTCCTTTCTTCTAAATATTAATTTATCCTGATCAATGGCGTTGGTATATATGGTAAGAGAGAAGGTGAAGCAGATTCAGATGGATACATTTTGTTGAACGCTAACTTTGAGCTGGGTTTTGGTGTGGTTTTTAGAGAGATGGGTTTTGTGAGTACTATATTAGGCTTCTGTGGATTTGGAGTTGGGATTTCATTTGGCCTGGTGATCGGATACTATCTGTTCATCTACTTCCAGCCTTGTGATGTTAAGGTGTTGCACTCTTTGCTTTTGTGTCTTCGTTTCTACGTTTCTCTTGCTATCATATTATAATTGTGGGTTTAAGTTGTACTTGGATTGAGAATTTCTCTATTTTACTGTGTTATGTGTGTTTTCCTTTGCTATTTATGTGTATTGTGTATTTCATTAGGCAATGTCACTGATAAATTGAAAATTAGTATGACTGTAAGAATAGCTGCACGGCAATTTCTTCTTCTTGTTGTTAATTGGGTTAATCTAACTGGCTAAGTCAACCACAAGTTGACCTAGTATACTGGAGCTGCACATTTGCCCTAAGGTTTAATTGTTTGGTTCAGTAAAAGTTGCACTATGGATTGTAAGTTCAACATTATGTATGTAGATAATTTGACTTCTATTTGATAAAGAAAATTGTGATGTTAGTAAACAAACCTCAGGTTATTGGAAGAGTGAGACATGAACTAATAGTTTTATACTCCTTTTATCCCTATGTATATAAAATTATAAATTCTTCCCATTTGAGATTCTCCAGTAAAGAGATTTAACTGTTTCAAGAAGCGGGAAGAGGAAGTCTTTGACCCCCCCCCCCCCCCCCCCCCACAACACACACACAAAGTTAAGATCAACACTAAAGGTAAATGAGCAACTAAAAGAGTATCTAACAAATAGATGGAAAATATTACAAAGAAAAAGTAAACTCTTGTTTTCATTTGTTGTAAGTCTATCTCGATAAGCTAGAGTCATACTTAGTAGAAGTAAGATGAAACGGAAGAGAAACTTAAGGCTGGTGCTTATATACGATCCTAAAAACATACTAAACATCCCACTAGAAAGCTGCCAATAAAGGGCAAAAGTATTTTACTTAGTCAAGCATCACCTGTTTGATAAATACTTCATCGAGGACTCATGGAGAATACTACCATATCAAGGTGAAATGGCTCAAATCATGGCCGTCTATGCCTCTAAAATTTGCTACCATCTCACTAGTAATACTAATATTATTCTATATAATTTCCACAAACTTGCAGAATTTAAATTTATTAAAACTGGCTGAAATTTTAATGTGATGCTTAAAAATTTAATAATGATTTGACATTTTCTCGTGTCACTACTAAGATAATAAAGAATATAAAAAGAAGTCAAATTTACATTTTAAAATTTGTGTGTAGTCAAATAGTGTCAAATAAAACGACATTGAGGGAGTAATTGTTTTATGTGGCCATGCCAAAATGCTGTTTAATTATTGTTTTGAAGGCACAAGCACAACTACCAGATTAATTGTACCTTGTTTCAGTACCAGCTTGGTGCTGAGCTTATATTACTAATAATACCTTTACTTATCAATAACAAAAAAGTCATAACTTAACTACCAATCCGAGAAAAAAGGTCATAACTTACTTGGTTGCATCCATGTCATTTAAACAGTTTCACTTATTCTTCAGGGTGTTTCATTTTTCCCTCATATGTTTGCAACGATACATTTTTTTAATCGTACCCCATCAGTGTTTTATTCCTTTTGGGCTGAACAACTAATGCATTTCCTGTAAACTATCAGGACCCTGTTATTCGTCCATTGGTTGAGCGAGATACTAAAAGCTTGCAGCAGATACTGTCTGAAATTCCTCTTTGGATTAAATGTCCGGACTATGACCGTGTATGTATATTGAGAAGCTTAAACTGCATTTAAAGTAGCTTTTCAGTGAATATATTTTTATTTGCTTTATATTTTCTAAACTTAAGGTGGACTGGCTCAACAAGTTTCTCGAGTATATGTGGCCTTACCTGGACAAGGTACTCTCATGTCTGAACATCATTCTGGACTATTTCCTTTATATGTTTGTTAAAGGAAATGAACTAACTAGTGCTCAACTATTTTTAAACAGGCAATTTGCAGAACTGCAAAAGATATTGCGGCACCAATTATTGCTGAGCAAATACCAAAATATAAAATTGATTCTGTCGAATTTGAAACACTAACTTTGGGGTCCTTACCTCCTACTTTCCAGGGTTAGTCGTTTTCTATGGCAACCGATAAATTTTATTTGTTCCTATTTTCTCTTACATGTTGAGATTTGTAGAAAAATAACGCGTAGCATAAGATATGAAGCATGCTATTTGTTTGGTTTTGCCTAAATGACATGGTATTTGTTTTTGGAAATAATTTGATTAACTGATTGTGCTCTCTCCATTTGAGACTGTGCATGTCACTTTGTTGCTGATCCATTTATTTTCTGAAAATCATGCTCATATCTAACTTTTAAGGGGTTAAGCAGTTGAGCAAGCAGTTACTGTCATTCTTTCACTCTGAATTACTTTCTGTAAGACGTGGATAAAATTGATGATCACTGGGAAGTCCCATAGAATTTTGACTAACGTACTGTATACCTTTAATAGACGGATAACAAACTCACTATCGAAGGCCTTGGGCAGCTTTGAGGTGAGAGGAGAAAAGTTAGAGGAGTTTGAACTTTAAAGGATCAGCTTCTTGTTAGCTAGCTGTCCTTTGATTGAGAATTTTGAAAACAATTGTTTAATCTCCCCCCTGAATATGATTATTTTCTCTTTAATGTCCACAAAATTTTTACTTATGGCAAAAAAATTATATTGCAAAATTATTTATCTCATGCACCTTAAATTTCCATGATCTTCTCATTTTAATGAAGTTCAATTAACCTGGTTGTGTATGCTTTCTATGCCATAAGTTTCTGGGAGGTGCATGCTTTTTCTAAGAAATGATATTCTACACAGACAATTATATCAAGTAGGACTCTTGTAGTCTTGTAATTGATGTTGGTCACGCTCTAAGATATGGTTTTACTGAGTTGGATTCAGTTATCAACTAGCCTGGTAGATCTCTTTGGTCAAATGCCTCTTATTCATCTTTATAATAATGGTTTAAAACTATATTTTGTGTTTGATTTTCGCTTAAATTCATCATAAGTTTTTCCTGTGCTTCTATTTGGCAGGGATGAAGGTCTATGTTACTGACGAAAAAGAATTGATCATGGAACCATCATTAAAGTGGGCAGGAAATCCTAATGTCACTGTTGCGGTCAAAGCATTCGGATTAAAGGCAACTGTTCAGGTTTTGCTTTACGTATTTTACATTTTGACGAGATTTTGACAAAAGAATGCCAACAATAGCCAAAATTAATTGCTTGAGTGGATGTTTCAGGTTGTGGACTTGCAGGTTTTTGCAGCTCCACGTATTACTTTGAAGCCTCTGGTTCCAAGCTTTCCATGTTTTGCCAAAATCCTGGTGTCCCTCATGGAAAAGGTAGGTTATGCATCTGGCACATGTTTTAAGAGTAGGTTTATATGTTCGGAAAAGAGTCATATTTGCCCCTGTACTCTTTAAAAAGGATTATATTTGTCCTTCGTTATACTTTTTAGATATATTTATCCTTATCGTTATACTTTAGGATCATATTTACCCCTGTACTTTTCAAAAGGGTTATATTTGCCCTTCGTTATACTTTTTTGACATATTTATCCTTACAATTATACTTTAGGATCATATTTGCCCCTCATCCGTTAGATCGCCATGTCCCACCTTTATTTTCCTACATGGCACCTATGTGGATTTTTTTTTCTTCCAATTTAAATATGGTCACCTATTTAAGATAATTTAACCTGCCCACCCAATTTAAATAAGACTTCATTAACTCCATTGTTGTGCAACTTCTCGTAATTTACTTTGGTTACTGCAATAATTGCGAGCTGTATTAGATTAGTGATTTTGAGTTCAAAGCTATTGTTTGCCAATATGTTGTCGCTGCTCTATCACTATTGTATTTCGCACAATTTTCGTAAATGTCGTATCAGGAAAGTGCTTTTCGTGGATCAATCATGGTCAATTGACCAAGTTTAGACTTTACAGAGTTTTATCACTACAAACACTTCAAAACATCATTGAGTGATTCATGTCTCGTGACTCCTAAGTATTAAAGGAAAACAAATTAACATAGACAAAAGTGAAATAATTAAATAAATCAATTAGAGATAACACTATAGTTTCATTCACTCACTGTCCAAAATTTTCTCGCTCTCCGGAAAACATGGAGCTGACCCGGAGAAGAGAGATGGACGAGTGGGGGGGGGGGGATTAGGATTTCCATTTATTTTAGTTAGTGTCTTGTTTAAATTGGGTGGGCGGGTTATTTTAGTTAGTGTGTCAATTGACCATGATTGATCCACGAAAAGCAATTTCCTGATACGATATTTATGAAGATTGTGCGAAATGCAATAGCGATATAGCAGCGACAACATATTGGCAAACAATAACTTTGAACTCAAAATCACTAATCTAATACTGCTCACAATTATTGCAGTAACCAAAGTAAATTACGAGAAGTTGCACAACAATGGAGTTAATGAAGTCTTATTTAAATTGGATGGGCGGGTTAAATTATCTTAAATAGGTGACCATATTTAAATTGGAAGAAAAAGAAATCCATATAGGCGCCATGTAGGAAAACAAAGGTGGGACATGGCGATCTAACGGATGAGGGGCAAATATGATCCTAAAGTATAATTGTAAGGATAAATATGTCAAAAAGTATAACGAAGGGCAAATATAACCCTTTTGAAGAGTACAAGGGCAAATATGATCCTAAAGTATAACGATAAAGGATAAATATATCTAAAAAGTACAACGAAGGACAAATATAACCCTTTTTAAAGAGTACACGGGCAAATATGACCCTTTTTCGTTATATGTTTGGAGCGAAAGAAAAAAGAACAAGCAAAAATTTTCAAAGCCAAACTGTTGTGTCTTGTTTCCTTGTGTAATCCTGTGGTTATATGGTTGACATGTTTCCTCTCTTTGATTAATCAAGAATGTATTTGACNGTTTATGCAACCATGTATGAAACTATCCCATGCTCTTTTTTTCTTCCTTTTTGTAAAAATAAAAAATTCCTCTCATTACACCAAAAATATTGGGGGAAAAAATGAATCTATTTATGTTTCATTCCTCCATCTCACTACTTTCGATCGGTGTCCTAAATCTTTGTTCTCCAAGCTGTTTTTTCACTCCCAACAACAAATAACAACCCAATATAATCCCACAAGTAGGGTCTGGGAAGGGTAGTGCGTACGCAGACCTTACCCCTACCCTGGGGGTAGAGAGGCTATTTCCGATAGACCCTCGACACAAGAAGATAAAATGCGACAATAGAATAGTAACAACAACTGTGTTTTTTCACTCCCAATCTCTTGTAAACTCCACCTCGACATTGCTTATCCACTGACCTTGATAGCACCCATGAAATGTTAAACAAGGAGAATACCAGTGTGCATAACATAGATGTAAAGCTGCAGTGCAGCATGAGCACTTGTCTTATCCATGCTCCTTTCACGAGCAACTCCAACTCACAATGTTTTGCCCTCATCTATGGACTATCCACCGTTAATATTGCACCCCGTATTGCATACGAAGTGGAAAAAGCGACTTTTGCAGTGCATTGGGACTTTGTAAATTCTGCCAAACTTACCTCTTTGTCTTTTCTTTTGGACAGATTCAACTAGCTCTTTTCCCCTTCCTATTAACTCCAATTAAACTGATTTACCATGACTGACTTCGCCCTTGTCCTCCTTTATATCATCTTGGCCATGCCATCTTCTCCTATTGAGATATTTGCTGAGAAATTCCTCAACATCATCTCACTCCAAGTCCAATCCTGTATGGCCCTTCTGAAGTCCACTATCCCCATGATCCCTCTGTCATCCCTCATATAGTTTAGCCTCTGTAAAGTTTATCACACTATGGTTGACATCTTCCCTTGATATTATAGATTTCTGAACTCATTTCAATTTATTAGGGCAGATTTTCGTTTGTTGACGTGCGTCTTAGTAGATTCTTATTTTTTGTGAAAGGTAACAGTATACTAATGTCAGCACAAACGATGTGCTTAAGCCATATTTACAGTTCAAAAAGCAATCATATGTCCTTGTTCTATCTTTTACAATGATTCTATGATGTCTAGGTTCTGCATCTTCTAAAATAGCTTTCTTTACACCACAAATGAAACAAAAACATCGTCTTAGTAGATTCTTATTGGTTTGCAGCCACATGTTGACTTTGGATTGAAGCTTTTGGGTGCTGATCTTATGTCCGTTCCTGGCTTGTACAGGTTTGTCCAGGTACTATAGTTTTTGATGTCCATTGTCTTCTATTTCTTGTTGGAACAGTTTATGCTTCTTGCCTTCTCATTTGCTCTTTTTTGGAAAACAGCCTGTATCCTTTACTGTATTTTACTGAAGACTGTAAGCATATTTGTTGCTTAGCTTCTAAGGTTAAGAATCCTAGGAATTTCTTACCAAATTTTTTAGTATAGAGATTTGAGTTTAATGACACAAAGCAGCTGCTATAAGTGCATGTGCAGGGGATAACATTTTTGTTGTAGTCATGATCAAACGATTTAATATTAATATTGGGAAACTCTCTTTACAGGAGACCATTAAAGATCAGGTTGCTAACATGTATCTGTGGCCTAAAACTCTAGAAGTGCAGATTTTGGATCCATCCAAGTATATCTTCTTTACTTTTAGATTTTGCTATCATATTCTTTGTCTCAGGTTTTGCAATCTCTTTCAATTAATTGTATCATTTTATTTCACTTTGCGAACATGTAGAGCAATGAAAAAACCTGTAGGGATCCTGCATGTGAAGATTCTGAGGGCAATGAAGCTGAGAAAGAAAGATTTAATGGGTGGATCTGATCCTTACGTAAAAGTTAAGCTCACTGAGTCAAAACTTCCTTCAAAGAAAACCACTGTGAAGCATAAGAATTTGAATCCAGAGTGGGATGAGGAATTTAATATGGTTGTCAAAGATCCAGAAACACAAGCATTGGAGCTCTCTGTTTATGATTGGGAGCAGGTAACTTTTCTAGTTTCTTGATACACATTCATTATTGTTTTCCTTCTTTGTGCTATCTCAAGCTTCAGTCCCTTCTTTATTCAGATTGGCAAACATGATAAGATGGGTATGAATGTTATTCCACTGAAAGATTTGACCCCTGATGAATCAAAAACTATGACTCTGGATCTCCTAAAGAATATGGATTCTAATGATACTCAGAATGATAAGGACCGCGGTCAGATCATGGTGGAATTAACCTACAAACCATTTAAGGAGGACGAGGTGCCGAAAGAATTTGAAGAGTCAGATGCAGTACAAAAAGTTCCAGAAGGAACGCCACCAGGGGGAGGCGTCCTTATGATTACGGTCCATGAAGCTCAAGATGTTGAAGGAAAGCACCATACTAATCCATATGTCAGGATTATTTTCAGAGGGGAGGAAAGAAAAACTAAGGTACAAAATTTCCTCTTCTTTCTAATCCTTCATTGCTCTCTACTTGGCAGGCAATGATAGAAATGAGTAGGATAGTATAGAATTCTTTTCCCACTCATCTTCAACCTTTCAACCTCAACACCTCTACCTCACAAGTGTTTAGGCTTTACGCTAGCCCGGGTATCCAAGCTCTCTAGAATTCACTCCCTCCTTTCAATATTACTTGCTAACTTGACCACATTCTGAAGAACACAAATTGATAATTTTGATGTGATAACCTTTTGAAACAGTAATTCTAAACCTTTATGCTTGTCAGGTTATGCCACCTAAACCAGGACAGTGGTGGCATTTGTACTTCATCACAAACTTGCATTGGCTTAGTTTCTAAGAGCCCGTTTGACTTTGTCGATTTAAAGTAGATGATGATAAACATCAAGTGGTAACAACACATTTAAATGCTGAAACTGATTTTAAGTCGCTACGTGTTTAGATAGAAGTGTTGGTTTGACAATAAACAGTTGATGTGTTTGGTTTAAAAGAACATGGAGAAGGACGAACATTGAAAACGGAATGGAGAGGGAGTTAGAGGTTTTGTTTTGTGAAAGGTTATTTCGAGGAATACAAATAATATTAGGGATAGAATAGTAAAGCCCTCGGTCAAATCGGAAGCGCTTATAAGCACTTTTGATGTTTACCTAGCGCATATATAGAGGGTGTTTGGCTAAGCTTATAAGCTGGTCAAAGTAGCTTATAAGCACTTTTCGGCTTATCTACGCGTTTGGTAAAGTTAAAAGTGCTTATAAGCCAAGTGCTTATAAGTCAAAAATAAGCCAAAAGCCATAAGCTGGTCACCCCCAGCTTATAAATTTTTAGCTTATAAGCACTTTTCGGCTTATCTACGCGTTTGGTAAAGTTAAAAGTGCTTATAAGCCAAGTGCTTATAAGTCAAAAATAAGCCAAAAGCCATAAGCTGGTCACCCCCAGCTTATAAATTTTTAGCTTATAAGCACTTTAAGTTTGACAAAAAATTTTACTATTTTATCCTTAAAATATTCTTTTTTAGAACAAAACTCTTGCATCGATACTCACTGCCTTAAGTACTATTTCAACCTACTCCCTCCCTCCGCCTCTTCAAGTCTGCAATGCTCATTGACTATTTAAGATAAGCAAATTCTCTATTCCTTTGCATATTTATATCTAGGTGATTGCGTATTAATCTTTGAACTATATGTAATAAATGAGGACATATCAAATTTTTGGTATGTTGCTTTCTAAGTGTTGTGGTGATAAAGACAGAGTTTGTTGAACTTCAAATATTTTGTCCTATTTAGGTTTATTTTTTACTGAGAAACTTTTATCAATTTATTAATTATTATAACTTATGATTATATGCTTATCATAAAATAAATTATATTTATCATAAAAGTTATCTTATCTAAGTACAGTTGTATTTAAAATAAAATGACAAATAGAATCTTTTGTTTTTGGATCGATTTGGAATCTAAAATTTTGAAGATATTACGCCCTTATAGGTGTAAACACTTGTAAGGTTATTTAAGTCATTTTAACAGAAAAAGAGCTTATCAACACTTTTTTATCAAATACTGCAGCAACTTATTATCAATTTCAGCACTTGTATCCAAACACGTAACTGCTTATTTATTAAATCAGTTTCAGCACTTAAAAGTGCTTTTCAGCACCTAATGCTTATTAGCTACTTCAAATCTGCTAATCCAAACGGGTTCTATGAGCACTTTTGATGTTTACCTAGCGCATATATAAGCAAAAAAGTGGTTTCATCAACTTATAAGCTTTTCCAAACTCTCTAAGTTTACCAAATGTTCGAATTTGAGACTCATGTATCAAGAAAGCTAGAGAGAGGTTAGAGGGAGTGGCTAAGCAGCCGAGGAAAAAGCCACAACCATGAAGAAGTGATATCCTATATCATGAGGTTATTATATAGAGATCAGAAGACCAAAAAGGGGGAGTTCAGATTTTGGGTGTGGATATTAGTATTACTTCATTTTCCCCAAGATCTCCTTTCTTAGCCCCACAGATATAATGTATAGTTCAATTACCATTCCATGAAGCATGTTAGTTTCCTGGGACCCTTTACCTTGCTAAGTTGTGTAGAACATTTTTCGATTTTTGAAGCATGAAAATGCTTGTGGTAACTTCTTTTTTCGTTCTTTCTTTTTTTCATTTTTGGGTTACGTGAAAATAAAGCACCGTTAGTTAGGATAAGAGATTGTCGTTAGGTCAGGCTAAGTAGTCGCTTGAGTTAACGTGGTTGTGCAAGAATCTTCATCTTCTCTTGTAAGGGAGCTCCAAGTTTTTTATAGAGTTCGCGCAAAAACGTCCTTTTCTTAGGGAATGTCCTATGGAAACTTAAGTTTTTCCGAGAAAAAATTGTAGTATCAAAGGTTGCTTCTTGGGGTCCACTCCCTGGATGAATTTCTTCCATTAACAATAACAATCCAGTATAATCCCACTAGTGGGGTTTGGGGAGGGTAGTGTGTACGCAGACCCTACCCTGGGGTAGAGAGGCTGTTTCCGATAGACCTTCGGCTTCCTCCCTCCAAGAACTCCCCACCTTGCTCTTGGAGTGACTCGAACTCACAACCTCTGGTTGGAAGTGAAGGGTGCTCACCACTAGAGCAACCCACTCTTGTCACATGAATTTCTTCCATTATGTCTTCAAAATCCATTGGAGTGCATGATAGATTCCAATAATTTCAGCAACTATGCTGTTTGTGTTTCCAATCAGAGTACAAATTCATTTTCTATTCTTTTGTTTCTTGAATTTAAAAACTGCATATCTATTATTCTGCTGTATACCTTTCTCAGCCTTTTTGGCTAATATACATGTAGTATTTCTTCATTCTGCTATTACTATAGATCTCTCCATGATAAGCTTGTGTGCAAATTTAATTTGCATTCTCGCCCTCATAGTAAATCCATGTAGGTCATAAAACTGAAACTGCTGGAGGTTCGTTTACTTAGAACTTTTTTTTTTTTTTTTTTGCTTTTCTGGATTTGCAGTATGTATTTAGGGTGTGTTTGGTGTGAAGGAAAACATTTCCCGGAAAGTGTTTTCCAATTTTTCCATGTTTGGTTGGCTTAAATGTTTTCCTTATCAAGAGAAGGGAAAACATTTTCCAAAACTCCTTATCAACCTTCCCCACCTACCCCACACCCTCACACCCACCCACCAAACCCCACCCCCTCTCTCCAAAAAGGCTTT